TCTTTCGGCTCGGATCTCTGTCATCAATGAGCACTTCTTCAACATCTTCGACCGGAGCAGCTCTGGTTTCATCTTCCGGTCGATTATCTACGATCTCAACACCCATAACTTGCTGATTATCAGAAATTCGATGGGGAATGGCCTCGGGTGTCTGAGCTTTGCCCTTCATGGGTTGTGTTACCGAGGTGATATAACAATGCCTGGCCACCTCTTGGTTTCCTCGCAGTGTTGCTATTCCCATAGGAGTTGGGAACTTCATACAGAGGTGAGACTGGGAAACCACAGCTTAGATTTCAGTTAGTGTGGGTCGGCCAATAACAATGTTGAAAGAAGACGCCATTTTGACTACGAGGAACCGGATTGAAGGAGTCACATAGGTTCTGCCACTTCCAAAAGCCACATGGAGGGTAAGAACTCCTTCTACCGGAACAGGCTGGTTGTTGAAACCATATATAGGACCATCATACTTTTGCAACAATGCTGGATCTAATCCCAGACTCTCAAAACAGTGGAAGTACATGATGTCTGGTGCACTCCCGGTGTCAACAAGGACACGCTGTACTTCACAGTTATTAATCATTACAGAAGTGACCAAGGGATGATTGTGGGGTGTAATAACTGTATCAAGATCAGCAGATGTGAAAGTAATGGGTTGGTTCTTCTACTCAGCGTCGTCAATCTTCCGCTTTTGAGCTTGGTTTTGATGTTTAACCTCTCTGACATACAGCTTTCGCTGCTTAGAGCTCAGTCCACCTGCTTCAAGGCCTCCCGTAATCATATGTATGATTCTAGCTGGTGGTGGAAGCGGAGGTGGGGTTTGCTGATATCCCACACCTTGCCTATTTGGGTGATTGCGGACTCCTTGAGGTTGCGGCCTCTGTTCTCTGATAAACCTCGGCTGTTCAGCTCTCTGAACATACTCATTTAGCATTCCCTTCTGAGCTAAACTTTTCAGTTCGGACTTTAAGCTGTTGCACTGCTATGTAGTATGGCCATGATCTTGATGAAAATCACAATATCTGGTGTGGTCTCGACTAGCAGCAGCAGTTTTCATCAGGCCAGGACGCCTTAAATCCATTTTATTCTTGATCTGCATAAAAATTTGTGACCTCCGCAGATTAAAGGGAGTCCAATTAACTGGAGGTTTACCTGCAGATTGGTGCGGGGGAGTTGAGTTCGTCTTTCCGAATCTCGTTGGGGAGGTCAACATCGGACCTCGGTTCTGCGCCATTCTCATCCTTTTCCAGTTCGAATTGTCATCTCTCCATTCTGGGTTCTGGTTCTTAGAGGAAGGTGGGTTTTGCGCCAGGGTGTATTCCTCAGCAGTTATAAATTTCAGAGACCTATCATTCACCTCGCTAAAGGTGGTGGCAGCATGTTTGATCAAACTGTCTCTGAACCTATCATGTTTGAGACCAGAGATTACAGCTGCAATACCCACAGCTTGGTCGAAGGAACTAACCTCCAACACCGCATCATTAAACCTGCTCATGTAGTTCTTCAGAGACTCTCCGTCCCTCTGTTTAACTCGCATCAATTCAGTAGTAGTTTTCCTAATCAACCTTCTATTGGAAAACTTAGTGGCAAAGGCAGATACCATTTCTGTGTAAGAACTAATTGACCTCGGAGGTAGACTGTAATACCAAGTTCGAGCATTACCTCGCAGAGTAGAGGGGAAGATTTTGCACATTAACGCGTCAGAGGTGTTCTGAGCTTGCATGCAAGAGTAGAAAGCATGCAGGTGATCATCGGGATCCTTCGTCCCATCATAAGTCTCCAGTTGTGGTATTTTGAAGCCAATGGGATAGGGTTCCAGCGTAATGTTGGTATTCAGAGGGTGAGGTATAGAATCAGCAGTATGGTGTGAGGGTGGAGCACCTCGGTGTTCAGCTACTAGTTTTTCCAAGCTATCGAGGCGTCGGGTGACATCATCAGGGATGGGTTACTGAGCAGGTGCTATATGGGATTGACCTTGAGATTCGCTAATAGCGGGAGAAGGTGGAATCGGTTAAGGATTCTGTTGTGGAGCTGGGGGTTGTTTAGCAGGGTTTAATAAATTAATAAGGGGATCACCAGGATTATTTCTAGCTAAAAGCTGAGCCAGTACCAACTGAAAAACACTGAACTGTTGCTGCATGGCAGCAAGTTGAGCTACCACTACGTCTTGATTGGCAGTGGAAGTGGAATTGTGAGCTGAGGTATGGGGTTGGTTTTCATCTCCCCCTTCTGCATGATCAACAGGAAGGAATATGGTTGGGACCTGAGGTGAAAGCTGAGGTGGGATTTGAGGTGGGATCAGAGGTGGAAGGTTGTTGGGGGGTTGACCTTGCCCATGAGGCAGAGATGAATTACCAACTCGGACTGATCGAGTGTGAACCATGATGAAAGGGCAACTAGAAAGCTTTCAGTTCGTTTCCCACAGACGGCGCCAATGTAATTGCACCAAACCAGAAGTTCTTCTTCAGTCCGCGCTTGCACTCCGGGATGACCTGCAAAGCCCCGAGGTGGAACTCGGGGTAGACACTCCGATGCTTAAGTCAGCAATAATCGGGGCTACCTTTAGGGCGAAGATAAAAAGAGCTTAGGGTTGGTTTCAATTACCTTTTTGACGTGGCCCGGGGGGATATTTATAGGATCCAATGAGGAACCCACGTGTCATGCCAAGCAAGATAATCGGAGCTTGATGTGTCCATCTAGACGATTATTCCGGGACCGAGAATTTGAGAGGTATTTAGATGCACGAGTGTCCACCATACTTGCTGTGCCACTCATCATAAGGAATTAGATGCGGGCATGCTTATTGTCACTGTCATGCAGCTAATTGAGCGGGAAGCTTTGGATTTATTCCTCACTTCGGTCATAAAGGAATTACTGTAGCAGTCCGAGGCTTGGCACCTCGGACCTGTCCTTACAGGCGGGCACATCTAAAACCTATGTGGTTTAAAAGATACACTCTAAGAGCATTGGTCCGCAAGAGTATTTGTGATTTAACCTTAAATTTTAATGAACTTAGAGATTTAAGTATATATTTTCCTAACCACAAATTAAAGGGGTTAAAAGTACATTTTCATAATTTGAATTAAATGCATATATATTTTTGCAAATTTTATAAGAATCTAACTACATAAAACAATAATTGATATATTATTTGATTCAATACACTGCATAATATATTTATTAAATTTTTTTAAAAAATGTAATAATAGATATAAGATGTATAAATTAACTGAATTCATTATATTTATATTATATTTTAATTATTAAATTAAATAAATATAAAACAATATATCAAACGAAAGTATGTACCAATAATTTTCCAACTACATATTTTATATTGCGGGATTACATCAAAGAAGTAAAAACCGTATTGTATCGATTGTTATGGTCGGTACATACCGATTTTGAAAATTGACTGAAACGGTATAATATTAATTTTTGTTTCAGTGAAAATTCGATCATTTCAGTCAAAATTTGGTGTACCAATCGAAATTTCGATGTACCGGTCAGTTCTTCGAAATTTCGATCAGTACACACTGCAAATTAAAAAAAAAAAAAGGATTCCCTAGCCCAAAATGATGTCGTTTTGAGCGAAGGGCTTCTTCATAGCCTGCGACTGCAATACACCGAAGTTGTCCGTACAACTCAATTCAAATTTAAAAAGGTAAATTTCATTTTTGATCCTCAACTTTAATGTCATATATTATTTTCATCCTTTAACTTTTTTATGCACTTTTTTAGTTTATTTTTCATTTTTTTTAGTCTTTCTATCAATTATTTTGTTAAATTTATCTAAATATACACATTTTTAGTCCCTTAATTTAAAGTAGATAGACAAAAAATATACATATATTAAAAGTTGAAAGATTAAAAATGATCATTTTAAACTTATTTTTAATTTATAAGAATATCATAGTTTTAAATATCAGTATCTTTTATCTTATTTTAAAATTTGATATTTAATTTATAAAAATATATATTTATAGCGATAAATCCGAAACGATACACGAAAAATTCTGGTATCCGGTACGTACCGTTTCAGTAGCAAAACTGATATGGTATTCACTACTTTGGATTACACCCCCCAAACCACATCGGGGTAAGAGAAATTTCCCCCATTTTTATCATTTTTTTTTCTATTCCTTCCACATTTGCCTTAAATATGACACGAAGTAGTGCAATTGATTGCCACTCTTGTTGCAGGGTTTGCTGAGATTGTGGTTTACTCAATCATCAAACATTAGAACTATTTACTTGGTACTATCATTAGTAACGGTAGGCAAAGCAAGAGTAAGATACATAATTTTCTTCCTAAAATGCCAAATTAAGTTGGAACATGACATAGATGACGATAAAATACTTGAGAATCGTACAGAATTTTCGATGGTTATTGGCCGGATTTCAGGTTTCTGCTCTTCTATAGGGATATCCTTAGAAACTAAAGTTTATATTTTCAGCGAATAGCAATAGGAATTGGTTATCTGTCTTTCTGTTTTGGGCTCATATATTACAAATCTGAAAGGAAAACAACTAATACCGTGCCCCTGGTTTTTTTTTTTTTTGAAAAGCAAATTTATTTATTGAGTATAAGGGGTACTCAAACTCATTTACAACCAAAATAATTGAATCATAAATAGAGGCTTAAAACCAATAATTACCTCTTTTTGATCAATTACTACATACAACGGCCCTTGGATTTAAAATCCAATCAGACATAGAAAATCTCCAATCCCTCTCTCTATTCCTTAGCCACTGCTGAGTCTTAATTTGAATGGAATCAAAAATACTTCCAACTTCTGCCGATTTGTTTTTGAAAACTCTTTCATTTCTTGTATTCTAGATAGTCCATACTACTACAAACCACACTGCTTCCCATCCAGCCTTCATTTTTCCATTAATCATCAGCCCGTCATGCTGTTCAAAAGCCTCCCACATATTGTTTGTTGTTATAGTTTTCACATTCCACCATTTATAACATGACTAGACTTGTGAGAAAACTTTACAGTGCAAAAATAAATGGTTGCTTTCTTCAACACATTCATTACAGAAGGAGCAAATGGTATCTTGAGTATCTTTTAAAATTTCTCTTTTAAGTAAGTTGATTTTGGTTGGCAGCCTATCCATAATTAATTCCCAAACAAAGCCACATATTTTGTGAGGGATTATCGGATTCCATACCCTTTCATATATTTTTTTATGAGGTGTGTTCTCGCATTCAACTAGGCTTGCATATCCCGAGCTTGATGAGTACGTACCACTGGAGTTGAATTTCCACCTCCATGAGTCTCTTCCTCCTTGCGTCAGTGATACATTTTGTAGAATGTTATCAAGCTCCTTGGTTTTATCCTGTTCCCATGTGTAGAGCTCTCGTGTCCATTGGAGGTTCCACTTCCATATTCCTTTCTCCCAACATCCCATTTGGTTGAGCTTGTTGTTTTTACCTATAGAGAGCATATATAATCTTGGAAATATGTTAGCCAACTCTCCACATTCCCCCCACTTGTCCCTCCAAAAGCTCACACTGCCACCCTCACCTACAGCAAATTGAAATCCTTCAGATATCCATCAACTCCCATTTTGATAAACTACATCTATTATACACACATCTTGCCACCATCTTGATCCTTTCCCCTTGCCCTCTCTAACCTAATTTTCCCAATTATCATTTCCTTCACCATATTTTTCCTTAATAATTGATTACCATAGACTCTCTCTATTCTCTGCCAATCTCCCCCACCATTTACCAAGTAAAGCAAGATTAAAACATCTAAGGTCCTTTATGCCTAACCCCCCCTCCTTTTTTCTTAGACAAACCCTCTTCCAATTAATCCAATGAGTTTTTTTCCTTTCCCCACAACCCCCCCACAGAAAATCGCTTCTAATTTTATAGATAACTTTTAAAATACCTTTTGGGATGAGGTAGACCGACATAAGGAAAACTAGGAGAGACAAGAGCACAGATAGAAGCAGCGTGATTCTTCCCCCAAAAGACAGCCATCTTCCTTGCCAAGTGTTCAATTTTTTCCGGAACACCTCAATCAATGGTTGCCACATTTCCCATCTCCTTTGATTTCCTCCAATCATCACCCCAAGGTATTTGAAAGGCAAGTCACCAATCTTACACAGCAACAAACATGCCATTTTGCTTAACCATTCCTCCTCAACATGTATTCCAATTAATTGGCTTTTGAGAAAATTAATTTTGAGACCTGAGACAAGCTCAAATAATCTCATAATACACTTTGCAGCCGATATGTTATTCTCAGTAGCTCTCTCGAACAAGATGGTATTGTCTGCAAATTGTATATGAGAAAAACACATGCCATCTTGCCCTACCTCAATACCTTCAAATAGCCCATTATCAACTGCTGACTCTAGGATTCCATTAAGGCCTTCAGCAACAATTAAGAACAAAGAATGGTGATAAAGGGTCCCCCTGTTTTAGTCCTTTGGATATCCCAAATTGTCTAGAAGGACTCCCATTAACCAGAACTAACAGCAAGCTTGTTTGCAGGCATTCGGTGATCCAGCCTCTCCATTTGATTCCGAACCCAAGTCTTCCGAGCATGTAGTCTAAAAAACTCCAGCAAACTTTGTCATATGCTTTCTTGAAATCCACTTTTAGCATGAAACTGTCTTTCTTTTGCTTCTTTGCTTCATCAATAATCTCATTGGCTAGAACCACCCCTTCGGATAGCTGTCTTCCTTCCAAAAATGCCATTTGCTGTTCACCTATCACCTCCTAGAGCACCCCTCTAATATTGTTAGCCAGAATCTTGGCAATGATTTTATACATTGCCCCGATCAATGATATTGGTCTATATTCTTCAATCTTTTGGGGGTTGTGGACCTTTGGAATTAAGGTAATAAATGAGGCATTTGCACCACTAATCAATTTTCCATTCTTTTGGAACTCTTGAGCAAAACCAATCACATCCTCCTACCGTGCCCTTGGTTTTGAAGGTCGACAGTCAATCCAGGAAGAGTTCCCAACGCTGGAGGCATCTAAAATTGCTTCCTTTATGGATACCATTCCTTGCCTATTATGCAGTCCAAACAGCAGGTACCACTTTCTTCCTGGCACAAATTGATGTGGCACAAGTTGATATTCTAGTAAAAAAACATCAAGTTTCCCAATATATCCTGAAACTTCTATGATATTAGTACGAATGTTTTCCGGTGGCCTCATACGTGGTCTCTTCCGTCCCATCTTAAAACGCTTTAGTGATATAAACTGCGTGCTGCTCTTCCATTGGGGATGGTTTTTAACCTCTGTTGCTGCATTGCTTCTTGGCATGTTGAGACTCGCAGACTGCGTATGCTGAAAAAAATTAGGAAGCAATATGAACCTCTTCTGGTTGGTTCCGCAGTTCTTCTTGTTAGGATGTGCGATCGGACTTGTAGGAGATGAGCTAGAAGATTTCTTCTCTGACCGCGTACCAGAATTGAAGCAACAGTTGGGATTCGCATTCAATAGATTTGTGGTGGGAATGGGAAAATTTATTAGTCTTACTCTTTTAAATAAGTTTTATTTTTATTTTTTATTTTATATTACATAATAAAAAATAATTATTTCTTATCCCTTAACTAATTTTAATTACATATTATAAACTCGAATTTAAAATTTTTTGTTACCACTTGAACTTATGCTGTTGGGTTTTTTTTTTCTTTAATCAGAAACTCTTAAACTACGTATACTCCTTTTTTATAAGTTAAGGAATCAATATTTTTCACAGTAAAAGAATGTTGTGAAACAACTGCAGCATAGGTATTTGTACCTGTGCCATGCCGCAATTATCTGCTCTCTTGGATCTCTGTTCTAGAATAAGAAGAGCCATGGTATAATGTTTTGGGATTTTCCATGCAATGTTAAGAATGCTTGTGTGATTCGCTACCTTGACTTTTACGTGTTTTACATTAAACTCTGTTCTAGATACTATTTGTGTGTATGGGAAACAAGTACACGATTAAGGATATTCTTACATTTGTGTAAGAATAAATTTTTTTTACACATATTAATAATTGTTTTATTTGTGTAAATTGTAGATGTTGAATTTTAAATTGATGACATTTGCACCTATTTAATAAAAAAGAAATTTTATTTTCTTATATACATTTGATAATATAAAATTTTATGATATTAATAAAATAATTAAACATATATATTCAATTAATGTGAAATTTAGCAATGATTTATATGAATAGAAGAATTAATCAAACATTTGATTTCTCAAAATTTTAACTGTATTGAAAATTAGATATGTGTAAGAGTTCCTTTTTTCTCCATGTGTTTAAATTACTCTGTATTCAAAAAAATATATACTAAATAAAATTTTTTTCAAACAATTTGCAATTGTATTGACATTAAGGACCTATTTGGTATAAGAGTTGAAATTCAGTAGATAGTAATAATGGGTGGCAATTAGCAAATAACGAGTAACAAATAATAGAGAGTGGATAGTAGATGGTAAATAGTAAATTCAATTGATATAATCGTTTGATTGTACAATTATTAGTGATGTTTAATGTTAAATACCTAATAATGACATATTTAAAAATAATTAAGTATATTTTTTATATTTTTATTTAAATTATTAATTTTATAAAAAAATAATAAGAAAATAAATAAATAAAATCAATTATAATAATATAATCACATAGTAATTTCTATTTTTATCAAAGAAAAAATTATATTATTTTTAAATAAAGTTAGAAATTTTAATTTTTTTTGTTTAGTTAGTAAATTTTGTTTATTAAGTTGATATATTTTTTTATGATAAATTAATCTAAAAATAAAAATATAATAATAATTTAATATTATTAAAGACAAAAACGTTGAAACAATTAAATAACTATTAATTAAAAATTTTGATTAAAAATTGAAAAATTAAAAAGGATAAATTTATTAGTAAAATAAAAAAATTCTAATCTACTAATGATTTGGTACTAATAACTATTTTAAGTACCTTTTCAATTTATTAGTGGTTGGGATCTTAATTGCTGCCTATTAGTCCCATACCATTAAATAAAAAAATTTTATCAAACATTTAATTTGTAATAATTTTAAAATAAATAAATTTACTAAACACATATCTTCAACAATTTAGATAAAATTACTAATCATATCTCCCACCACTATAGCAAACAAGCCCTTAGTCTCCAGTTTTACTCCTAGTTAGACTTGAAAGGTAAACCTTTAAATAAATAAATTTGCGGCTAGTTTTCATTAAAGCAGGACAAAGGGAATAGAGGCAAAATTGTTGGTCCTTGGTTAGGCATTGGCTTGGATTCAGTAGCATTATCATTTTTTTGAGAGAAAAAATGGGCGTGGCTTGTGGGTTATTAATTAGGCCTTGGTTTGGGTTCAATTGGATTGGCATTTTCTGAGAGAAACAATGGGCATTGGGTTTTGTTCCTTTTGGTCACACAGGAAATAAACGGCTTAAAAGAAACTGCCCAATATTAACTATCCATAAGTAAAGAGTGGTTGAATGAGAGGGAAGATCCAGTACCCCGTTTTAAGTGTATATATAAGAATATTTATAATAAAGTATAAATATGATAATGTCTTCTAATTCAATTGAATTTAGTTTTCAAAATTTTTGCAAAATTTTAACACTTTATAATTGTGTCCGGTTAAGGTTTTTGGTGTAATTATATTAACAGAAGTTCATCCAGTAGAAGTCAATCAAGTGGAGGTTTAGTTTTATGTCTTAATCCATATTGGACTAAGTTTGGATATAACCGAGGTTGTCATGCAATCTTACGTTATTTCATTGCATGATTTCAATCAAAGTAACTGTTAACCCACGACTAATTAGGTCGATGATGAAGAAATTTTTTCACAGGCCATAGAACCGAGAAGTAACGTATAGTATGGTAGTTGGCCTAACCAAAGCGTCACGACAAGACAACGGAAAATTACCGTTATGAATGGAATCCTAAATGGGAGGGTCCGCCTGCGTACCAGTCAAAGAGGTGGAGAGAGTCAACGTAAGCTCACCCGTAAGCTCAAGGAGCTTTCTCCACAATGCTCATTGCTATAGTAATTAAAATTTAATGAACAATAAACTAGTAGGTAATAGATAACAAATGGTGATAGTAGGTAATAGTGAATGAATAGTATATAATAAATAGTAAAAAATAAAAACTAGATAGTAAATAATGAATATGATTAATGATATAATTGTTTAAATATATAATAATTAATTATTATTATTTAAAATTAAATTATTGATGAGAATGTATTTTAAAATAAACTAGTAGGTAATAGATAACAAATGGTGATA